GTTGCTGGACTCCCACATGGCCAACAACAGTTTGAGTCCCAGACCTGGCAGCTAGCTTTTTCACCTTCCCTCTCTCTCTCTTTGGCTCTCACTTTAATAATCCTAAAAAAAAATTAAAAATAAAAAACCTCACACTGGATATATATGTGTATGCAGGCTCAAAATCTTGAGAGGAGAATGGAGAAGGGATTGTGGCATGGCCATCCCCCCGGGGGGGTGATTTCTCGCTTTCTGCACTCTCTGTCTTTCTGTCTCTTCTGGTGAGTACACTCGCCCTATAGCAAAGCAAAACTCTCTCTAAAAAATAAATTTTTAAAAATGGTTAACATTTTCCCATATTTGAATCAGATCTTTTTTCAAAGAAACAAAAGGTTATAGATATATTGGAAGCTCTCTTTGATCTCATTCCAGGTCCTCTTTCTCTTCTTTCTCAAAGGCAACCACTCTCCTGAGGCTGGGACACCATGGTATTATTTATTTTTTTAACCATTACTTTATGTAGAGACTGGCAAGTGGTGTGGTGGTTAAGGATGCTGGATGGCCAGGACTAGGACTTGAACCATGGTCGGCCGTGTGGGAGTCCAGCGCCCTTAACCACCATATCACCTGCTGGCCCCCACACTAGGGTATTATAAGTATTTGTTTATGCATCTGCTGTCTTTCCCCTGGAACTGAGGTCCTTGAGAGCAGGGACAACGTCTTACTCCACGTTAGATACGCAGCGCTGGCACGGAAAATGATTGTAGTGTGAGTGGATGGAGGGATGGAGAGATGCTCACATAGACAGAAGGTAGAAAGAATCAGTGGAGAGATGGATGAGGGAAACAAGGACAGACGAACAGAGGGGTAAGTGAAGGATGAGTAGGTGGAGAGAAGAGCACTTAGATGGGTACATACAAGGAGAGAGGGAGGGAGGAGCAGGTGGGAGGGCAGGAGGATGGACAGTGATGGTGGAAGGGTAAACGGAAGGACAGAACGCAGAACCCTGGCCTGAATGAGATGCTGGCCTGGGAGGCCCAGGCTGGTCCAGGCCCCACACGTGCATGCTCTCTTGCAGGTCTGGGCAGCATGCCCTTCCCTTCTCTGGCCCCACCAATCACGCTGCTGGTGGATGGGAAGCCACAGACCCTGGTGATCTGCCTGGTCTTCGATGTGGCACCCCATGGCTTTGACAGCCCCATCTGGTTTTCGGCTGGCAATGGCAGTGCCCTGGATGCCTTCACCTACGGCCCTTCCTCAGCCATGGACGGCACCTGGACTCGCTTGGCCCAGCTCTCCCTGCCCTCTGAGGAGCTTACTGCCTGGGAGCCCTTGGTCTGCCACACTGGGCCTAGGGCTGGGGGCCACAGCCAGAGCACACAGCCCCTGCAACTGTCAGGTGGGGATGAAGTCTGGGTCCTTGTGGGTGTTCCCTGTCCCTTCTCACACCCCAGAACCAGGCTACTGAGGGAGGGAGGGCAGGCTCCAGGCCCCAGAAGCATGAAGGGTATTTAAGCGCAGGTCACCCAGAGCAGGAGCAGGGAATGGTGATACTTGGGCTCAAGGAAGGATGATTTTAGGACCATGAATCCTGAGATTTGCAACTATGATATCTGGTTCAAATCCAAGCTGTTTTGTTTGTTTGTTTTGCTTTTTTCATTTTTTTTTAACCAAAGGGCGACACCGCACCTCCCTTTTTCCATTGAAAAAAAAAAAAACACACACAATTATTTACTTATTTAATTCCACTTGTTATTATTATCTTTTAATTTGACCAGAGAGAGAAAGAAAGGGAAAGTGAGAACACAAGCTGCCTGGTCTGAGACTCAAACTACAGTTGGCCATGTGGAAATCTAGTGCCCTTAGCCACTATGCCACCTGCCAACCCCAGTATTATTACTATTTTAATTTGCTATAGGGTACATGCGCTCACCAGAGAGAGGAAGAGAGGGGAAGTGAGAAAGGGAGCCACCAGGTGTGGGACTTGAACCACTCAACCACCATGCCACCTGCTGGCCCCGCCTTCTTCATGTTTCAGCTCTGTTTTATGACCTCCAAGAGATCATAATGCCTTCTCCCTCCTGGAGGCTGATTATAAGTGCACACATTTGTACACACACACACACACACACACACACACACCCTGCTGGTTGTACATGACACCCTGTGAAGACAAAACAATCGCCATCAAATACTGTAATATACTGCTACCACTTGGGCGTCTACTCTGTGCCAGGCATTGTTCTAAACACTGTGTATTAATGAGGCAGATTACGTTATTGGCCCTGTCTCATAGGCACGGGGAGGTTAAGTAACAGGTCCAAAGTCAATTATTATTGCTGGCTAGATCCCTGACTTCCTCCCTCTGGATCACCTTGGTTTTGACCCCTTCCAAATGGGGATATCTTTCAATAAATGCCCGCCTTCCTAAGAATGCTGCTGCGAGTCCGTTCCTTGTCTTAAAGTGCTGAGGCACCTCAGCCTCTCCGGGCACAGGACAGGATATGGTGGAGTCAGGGAGACCTGGGCCCCTCAGATCACTTGCAGCAAATGGACTCAGGGCTTCTGCTGTTGGCTCCTCTGTCACTTACCCAGCATGCCCTGAGAGCTGCCCTGTGCCAGGGCCCCACACCCCCGGGGTGCAGGGCATAGCCCATACCAAAGAGCTCACTCTCTTCTCCTTGGCTGGCAGGAGAGGTTTCCAGAGCCAGGGCCTGCTTCCAGGAGCCTCTCAGGGGTGAGTACTTGGGGCTGGGGTGGACTCAGGGTAGGAGGTAGGGGGACCAGGACCTTGGGCCTGAAGGATGGAATGTTCATCCCTAACCTGATGAGTCCCACCCGGGGTTGGCAGTGTCGCAGGTGTCCTGTGAAGAGGCTGCTGCACTAGGCTGGGGCACTGGCTAGACTGGGCCTCCTTCTGCCCTAGGATGAGGTGGGAGTGGGTCCTCTGACCCCCTCAATTCCTGACCTCAGGTGAGAGCTAATGCAAGGGTCCTTGAGGAGGCCCTCGGTGGGCAGCCCAGGCGCATGGTCTAAGCATTGGTGCCTGTGCCAACGGGAAAGTGGGTGGTGGAGAGCACGCGGGGCCCAGAGTCATGAAGCCGCATTTGGGTCCAGGTCCAGCTTTGCTTCTTGACCAAACAGAATTCTGAGCCAGTTACTCTCTGCATAGGATGCCAATTCTTGCCTGACTCCCACCCCCGCACTCCTGGTTGCTGGGGAGTAAAAAAGAATGTTGGGAAGGTACTTCGAATTACCCATAACAACTGGGAGGTCAGACACCAGGAAGGACTTCTCCGGTGGGAGGGGGCGGGAGGGGAGGTGGATGGCGAGTGCAGGGCAGAGGCCCTTCTGCCTCGCTGCCTCCTCCTCGGGGAGTGGAGTGGCGGCGAGCTCCTCCAGGCTCCTCCAGGCTCCTGACCCGCTCTTTCTCTCACAGGGACGCAGGGCCAGGCCCTGTGGCTGGGGGCGCTGCGGCTGCTGCTCTTCAAGCTGCTGCTGTTCGACGTGCTGCTGACCTGCAGCCGCCTGCGCGCCGGGACAGCCACGAGGGCGCACCCCCATGGCCCGGCGGCCCTCCGTGCGCTGGCCCTGGGCCCCCACCGACTGCGTTCACCCAGCCCTCCGCTGCCAGCGCCACGGCCCCTGGCCAGCCAGTGGGTTCGCACCTGCGGTCAGGGTCAGCGGCCCAGGAACTCAGTCCGGGAGGAGGCGAGGGGACGAGCTTGGGCCCCTAGCGCATGTTCCGCCCTCACTACTTCCTCAAATCTCGAAGCATTTTTGGTACATGACCTGCCACCTCCTGCAGACCGCACCTTCCTGGAGGCTGGGCGCCACCCCTCTCAGGGTTTTCTGATAAAAATGGCTGCGTCTCTTCCATCAGGCTGGGAGCCTCTCCAGGGTAGTGATCTACCCAGGTACTGGGATATTTGAATTAAAGAACTTGAATGACACAAGCAAATGAAGAGTGTTTTAATTCACATCTGCCCTGGGAGGAGGAAACATTGTGGATTTAGCTGCGGCCGAAATCTAGGAAAGCTCCCTTGAGGAAGAGGGCTGTTTTTTTTTGTGTTTTTTTTTTTTTTTTTTTGCTATAGGGCGCATGTGCTCGCCAGACAGAGAGAGACATAGAGACAGAAAGCGAGAAATCACCCCCCCAGGGGGGATGGCCACACCGCAATCCCTTCTCTTCCATTCTCCTCTTGGGATCTTGGGCACACACACACACACGCCCGGCGTGAGTTTTAAGCCACCGGGTCCAGGACTTGAACCACGGTCGACTACGTGGGAGTCCAGTGACATAGCCATTATGTTAACTGCTGGTCCCAAGGAAGAGGGCTTTCTGAGAGTGTGAACCTGAGACTTGCAGAGTAGGGCTGGACACTAGGGAGGAAGCTGTTCTGTGTCCATCTCCTTCCTCCTCTGCCCCTCTGGGCAAGAACCACTGTACCTCCTCGCCCAAGCCCAAGCTCTGTGTAAGGGCAGGGCAGGGAGCCCAGGAACCCAGGCAGGTGGGTGCTGGGCCTGATGGGAATCTTGTCCAGACTCGACTGAAGTGAGCGTGGCCAGGATCCCAGGTAACAGGATCGTGCCCAATGCCAAGGACAGAGATGGTCAGTCCAGACTCACACGGTGTGAATCCATGAAGGGTCATTATTCATTTGGCAGATATCCTTTGAGCATCATCCCTGAGCCAGGTACTAAAAGGGTTTGGCCTTTTGGTTTTGTTTTCTTTCTCTTTGGAGAGGTTTTTGTTATAGGGTACGCATGCGCACCAGAAAGACAGAGAGAGACAGAAAGTGAGAAATCACCCCCCCAGGGGGGATGGCCACGCTGTAATCCCTTCTCCTCCATTCTCTTCTCAGGATCTTGGGCACACAGGCACACACGCCCAGTGTGAGTTTTAAGCCACCAGGTCCAGGACTCCAACCGTGATCAACTACATGGGAGTCCAGCGACAGCCATTACACCAACTGCTGATCCCCTTTTGGTTTTGTTTTCTAAAGAGGATTCTTGTACTGATAAAATAGGAGGCTTCTACAGTGGACTGTAATCTGTGTCCCACTCCCCCGGCACAGGCAGGAAATCCAGGCTTTCCCCAGGGCTTTTCTCCAGTGATCACCCCAAGTATCTTGGGGTGCTCGCATGCGAATCCAGATGTCCCTACAGTACAGTCTACTGGACCGATGGCATACCTTGGTCTTCTTCCCCATAAAGTGGGGGAACTGTCTCCCAATGCCCCAGCTTCCCTGAGCCCCTGTGCTCTGAGCGGCTGTTCATGCTCTCACCAGCCTGTAAGAAGATTCTCCCACCTTGTTGGATTCCTCAGGGAGGGTGTTGGTCCCACAGCACCTGGGGATGAGTGTCTGCTGTCCCCTAGGGCCTGCTCCTTCCCTGGCACTACAGACCAAGGGGGTAAGGTGGGTTCAGCTTTGGCCTACGACTTTCTCCAGCCACTGTCCAGTTCCAGCTTTCAGCCCAAATGCTAAGTCCAAAACTTCTGCCAAACAAATTCTTGGTTCCGTAAACATGCCCTCAGGGGCCCTTTATGTCCATCGCAGAAGCAGGGCTTCCCTCAGCTTCAACTCTTCTCCCTACCTTTTATTTTTATTTATTTATTTATTTTTGCCACAGGGCACATGCGCTTGCTGGAGAGAGACAGAGAGGGAAAGTGAGAAATCGTCCCCCAGGAGGACGGCCACACAGCAATCCCTTCTCCTCCATTCTTCTCTTGGGATTTTGGTCACACACACGCATATACACCAGAAGTGATTTTCAAGCTGCCGAGATTAGAACTCAAACCACATTCGGCCATGTGAGAGTCCAATGCCTTAACCACCACTCCATTTGCGGGTTCTCCTTCTTTTATCCTAATCCTGCCCAGCCCCACCCCAGCCTCTCACTGTGGCTGGCTTACTGGGCCTGAAAGTGGTGAAGCACCTCAGCATGCCTGTCTCTGAGCTTCTTCAAGCCTCACCAAGCTGGGAGGACCTCAGGAGGGTGTCCCGATCGTGGAACATTCTGTGATATTCCACTTGCTACAGCCTTTGCTTATCCGAATGCTTTGTTACCAACAAATGTCAGAAAAGGACAAGTCACCGGCCTGGCTCTTGGTCTTTGAAATCTTCTAAAAATCGCTTAACTGTCTAACTTCTAGGAAGAAAATGGGCTTTATGGGCAAAAATGCAATTGCAGGCCAGCAGGTGGCGTGGAGGTTGAGGTGCTAGAGCCCATGACATGGCCAACTATGTGGTTTGAATCCCAGACCCAGTGACGAAGATCACCCTGGGTGTTTGTGTGCACATGCCCAGGGTCCCGAGAGAACGGAGAAAGGACTGCAGCACAGCCATTACCCCTGGGAGGTGGTTTCTCACTTTCTCTGGTGTGCACACCACAGAAAACTAAAAATAAGGCAATTTGCAGACAACTTCCCAGAGAAGCAGACTTGGTCTGTCTGTGTCCTTTGGACACAAAGGTCGGGGGTGGCCTGAAGCAGCCCTACAGATCCAATGAGCCCTGTTCTTAATGACTCAGAAGATGCAGGTTTCACCAAGTATCTCCTTGTGGCAGGCACCCTGTTGTTGCTGGGGAGGGGACAGGAAGTACAACTGCTCATCACCCAAGTTCCTGTCTTCTGGGAACTCAGGATCCAAAGAAAGACATAGTTAGGCAGTGAAAGGGACAGAGATCACATACTAAGAAGAAAATTAGGGCCAGCTCTATGCTCTATGGCCTGGTGGTTGACGCAGCCAGATCCCACATGCTGTTTCAGGTCCAGGCCCCGAGACTTATGAAGCACGCCTGGTGGATGGGTGCCCAAATTTCGGAAAGGAGGAAGAGATGGGCGAGAAAGGATTGCAATGTGACTGACCTCTTTCCATGGGAGGATGTTTTTTCCACTCTCTCTCTTCTTGTCTGTCTCTGGCGAAAATACGTGTTCTCTTGCCAAAAAAGAAAGAAAAAAAGAAGAAGAAGAAAATTAATGTCTGAACTCTTTATAGTCTGCTGTGTAAGCTTTAATTCATTAACCTATTTGAGCTTCCCAACAACAAGCAACCTCGCATAGCAGCTAGGAGGGTCACATTGTCATGAGAAAAGTAAAAAGCGAGCCTCAGAGAGGCAGTTATTTGTTCTAGTTCTCACTGGGACAAATCTAGGGTTACTGGGCACTAAATCTGAAGGCTGGGGAATGTATGAGCGGTTGGCCACGGCAATAATAATTTTAAAACAGGTGTTCACTAAGCATTTATGGCACTGAGACCCCTGGAGGGAAGTGACGTTCGAGGAGGCGAAGGCCACTACATTGCCATCCCGGCATCTTCCAGGACCAGTGTGCCAGAACCCATCCCCCTCAGGCCCAGACCCAGGTTTTCACTCCATATTCTGGTCCTCCAGCCTCTCCCAGAGACTCGGCTAGTGGGTGGGAACAGACGTTGCCATAAGTGGCTGAGGCCAACATCCGCTCTCTCATTGGCCAAATATGAAAAAAGGTCGACCTCTGATTCGCTAGAAGGCAAAGCCCGAGGAAGCCCATTGGCGGCTGCGTCCGCGGGCCTTCGTCCGCTTTGAAGGCGGGCAGAGGCAGGCAGAGGAGGGGGCGGGCAAGGGGCTCGCTGTTGCCGTGGTTACGCTGAGGCACGTGTGCAGTCCCGGAAGCGGCCTGGGGAAGCTGCTCAGCGCGGGCCGCCGGAGGAAGCGCCGCCCGGTTCGCTCGGGTCGGGTCCGGCTGGGCCATGGAGTCGTTGCTGGAGCCTGCACCGCGCTGTCTTCTGCTTTTCCCTTTGCTGCTGCTGCTGCTGCTACTGCCCGCCCCAGAGCTGGGCCCGAGCCAGGCCGGAGCCGAGGAGACCGACTGGGTCCGGCTCCCCAGCAAAGGAGAAGGTGAGGGGGCGGGGCCCCCGGGGCGTTTCCCGCCGGAGGGGCGGGCTCGAGGGGCGGGGCTTGTGCAGAAGGGTCGGGGGATGGAAGGGTCTGGGTTCTGCACCGTCGGGGTTTCGGTTCACGAAGTCCGCTGTGTGCTTGGCACTGGGCTGGGCGCTGGGGACAGCTGGGTGGGTGAGAAACCTGGTTTCGGTATACCAGGAGCTAGCAGATCGGTAAAAATAAGGGTCGTGGTGCCATGGTAGGGGAGGAGCAGCTAATCTAGCCTTGGGATGGGGGGACGCTGTGTGTAAAGAGGCGTCAGAGAAGGCTTCATATAGGAAGTCTGAAGAGTCATTAGTTACCCGGGCGAAGACGAGTGGGAAGACAGGAGCCCTCTCAGAGAAAACCACAGATGCAAAAAGGCCTGCAGCCTGAGCAGCAAAAGGTGCATTTGAGGAACCGAGAAGGACCGCATGACTGGTCTCGGGAGAAGCACCCGAAACTTTCCCCTAGCCTCTCCGTGCACCCTGACCTGTGTCGTTTTCTCTTGCCTCCACTAATAGCTCCTTAGCACAGGGACTTGGTCTCAGGTGTTTACTTATTCACATCCGGCAGGTGTCCAGTAAGTGTTTTGGGAATAAATATGATAAGAAGAGGGACTGTTGGATGTGTGTGGAGGAAGGAGGCCTGGGGGTGGGGTGGGGTGTACAGAGCCTGGGGAGAACTTGGTGGGGAAGGAAGATTTCAGGGATGCTGAGAAGGCTGAGACCTTAGGACATAGTAGTGGAGGCAAGACAGAGAACAAGAGCTCGCCAGTGACCCACCGCTGAGAAGGGCCTACTTCTTTTTCCTCCTCTCCGTTTCTCAGTTTTCCACTTAGACATGTACAGTTACTCCTTTCTTCCCACCTCCCTAACCCCAGGCCCTAGAAGACCGGCTACAAATCTGTTTCATCTGAATTCAAAGATGAACATCTGAACATCAGCAGGCCAGATGTTCCCTAAGCACTGCGAAGTGGGGGTGGGGTGGTTCGAGACACATAATCCTTCCATTTGTGAGATTAGAAGTGAGATGCCCAGAGATAAGCTGACTTCGCTGGAGGGCGCCCACTGGGGTTTATTTAGCCTGGCTTTCTGCTTACCCTCGTGAATAGACAGTCACAGGGTTGTGATACTTGCACTCTTCTCGTTCTACCCTTTGGGAGTTTCACTTCCTCTTCTCTTTCTTTTCTATTTCATTCTGATACCAAAGGGTCCCTACTGTTTTTCTCGTTATTCTAGGCTAAAATGCTCATATTCTTTTCTTTAGGAGGTATTCACAGACTCAGAAGCATGGCTGGTGTGGATCTTGAGATCATTCTAGCCTGACCCTGATCTGTCACTGTTGAAGACTCTAAAAGGGATTTTCAGTCACCGGATGGCTTGGCAAACTCCCAACTCTTAGGCTCCTTTTTATATGTATTTTTTTTAAATGATGATTATACCTTTGTTAGTAAATGCTGGCTGTGTCTGGCCCACAGAGCCTGCCACCTGGCCCAGCAGCCTGAGTAGAGTAGGCCTTGGCACACAGGAAGGAAAACCTGCCCAGAGGAAGAGTGGGTGGATGTCGGTGAGGGTCTGGGGTCAGTGCCATGAGTCTCTTCCAAGTCTCTGGGTGGGATCCCCAGAGGGGGTCTTGAAGAGGTAATGTTTGGAAGTGCTGGGAATCGTTGCTGGGCATAAGAGAAAGTAAGTTCCACACCTCCCCTTTCCCATCTCCTGGAATACTGCATGTTGAGGGTGTGGGAGGAAGAGGCAAAGGAGCCATGAAAATGATGAGCTTGCACAGGAGAGGCGGGAGAGCCCAGACAGTCCTGGATGGAGAGCTTTGGGATTTTTTTGCATGTTCCAAGTTCTCTTTGGCATCGATTAATGTGAGCAAGCAAGCCTCCAGGGATGTGTTTTACGTTTATGGTAAATTGGTTTTCTACCAAACTCTGCTGTCGGTGCTGATGGCATTGCGCCTGCAGACCGTATTCCATGCAGAGGCACAGGAGTGGCAGGGCCACACAGGCTCTGTCAGTGATTTTATGAAGCATCCACCATATACAGACTCTCGGACGAGGGACATATGCACTGAAGAGATTCAGTACATGATGCACACTGGCGCCCTATGGGGATCGCTGTAGTCTACGTGCAGAGACCTGGGAGATGACCGAAGGTACTTAGGAGAGCATGGATCTTGCCAAGTCCCTGAGGGAAATTGAGGTGGGGAGAAGGGGAGTGACTAGACGGTGGCAGAGTGGTGAAACTGTTGGGTGGTTGGAAAAATCATGACACAGTTCTCTATGCAGAAGTGCATCGTGACGTTCCGGGTGACACAGTAGGTGCTCTACGATGCAGTCCCACACGGGAAGGTTCCTGGTTCAAGTCCAGTGAGCTTCCTCTGGATGCCAGGCACACGCGTGCCTGTGATCAGGGGCTGGCTGAAGACTGGGTGTGGATCAAAGCGTCAGGGTCCTATCAAGAGTGCTGTCACTTTCTGTCATGGAAGAAATGAATAAATAAACTTTAAAAAAGGGGGGGGTGTCAGATGGTATTAATCCAGGCTGCCTTTCTGAGGGCAGAGGCTTTTAATGTGAGTTTGGGAGAAGGGCAGAGAAGCGTGCCTGTGATCAGGGGCTGGCTGAAGACTGGGTGTGGATCAAAGCGTCAGGGTCCTATCAAGAGTGCTGTCACTTTCTGTCATGGAAGAAATGAATAAATAAACTTTAAAAAAGGGGGGGGTGTCAGATGGTATTAATCCAGGCTGCCTTTCTGAGGGCAGAGGCTTTTAATGTGAGTTTGGGAGAAGGGCAGAGAAGCCTCTAGGGTGTGGGGGTGGAGTGGGGGGATGGCCACAGTTCTGCAGTGGTAATTATGTGTTTACGCCTTCATGTGCTCCATTAGACTGTGCATCTGGAAGAGAGGGACCTTGTTTTCATTTCTGTATCCCCAGAGAATGCCTGACACATTAGAGTTGCATAATAACTATTTGAGGAAGGGCAAGAGGGAATGAGAAAATAAATATATAAAAACAGTAGGAGGCCAGCCAGTGTCCTGGTGTTAAAGCAGCTAGATCCCGCGTGGCCCAGATCCTGTGACTTGGGAAACGTGCCAGTCACATGGGCATATGTGTCCAAAATAGAAATGTAGGAGAAGGGATCATGGTGTGGGTCCTCCACGGGGGGGTACTTGTTTTTTTGGGTTTTTTTTTTAGATATTTTTGCTGTGGGGTGTGTACACTCACCAGAGACAGAGACATCCCCAGGGGGATGGCCACACTGCAATCCCTTCTCCTACATTCCCTCCTTGTGATTTTGGGCATGCACACACCTGCACCTGGTGTGAGTTTTAAGCCACTGGGTCCAGGACTTGAACCATAGTCGACTATGTGGGAGTCCAGCGACATAATCATTATGCCATCTGTTAGTCCCGTGGGGATACCTTCTGACTTTGCCTTTCTGTCTCTTTCTCTGGCAAGTACATGCAACTTCTGGCAGTTTAAAAACAAACTGACTAACACAGCAACAGACAGTAGAATAAGATCTCTGGAGGGGATGGAGCAGATTATCTTTGTAGGAAGAGAGAGCTGGTGTTGGAACTCACGTGAAACCAAGTAAAGGTCAATCGGAAATTTAAATACGGATTATTAGATGATATTGGAATTATGCTTTTTTAAACAATTATTTATTTTTTCCATGAGAGACAGAGAGACAGCTTCCCCAACAGGGCCCTGACACTGCAATCCACCCCTACCTTCAGCCAGCCCCAGATCATGTTCATGTGCAAGTCCTGTGTATTCAGGGAGGTCTCCGGACATGAACCCAGAACCTTCCTGTTGGGGTCACCCTTGTAGAACGTCAAGGTTTACTACTGTGCCTCCATCAGGCCCTTGGAATTATTGTTAATTTCCTGAATATTATCATTGATTTTTGGTTTGTTTGTTTTTGCTACATAGGAGGTCTTTGTTCTCAGGAGACATGACGACATATCTAGGAGTAAAAGGTCATATTTACTTTCAAGATAATTTAGTGAAAACAGTGTATTATATTGTTGAGTTACGACAGGGCCAGCAGATAGCATAGTGGTTTACATTGCTGGACTCCAACATAGCCATTCGTGGTTCGAGTCCTGGACCTGGTGGTTTGAAAATCATGCCGGATTGGGACCAGCAAGTGGTGTGGTGGTTAAAGTGCTGGACACTCCCACGTGGCCTACCACAGTTCAAGTCCCAGACCTGGTTGCTTGCTTTCTCACTTTCCCTCTCTCTGTCTCTGTCTCTGTGTGTGTGTGTGTCTCTCTGGTCAAATGAAAATAAATGAATGAATAAATTTTTTAAAAAATTAAGAGAATTATTTATTTAATTTTATTTACTCATTCATTTATTTTCATTTGACCAAAGAGAGAGATAAAGTGAGAAGGCAAGCCATCAGATCCAAGACTCGAACCATGGTCAGCCATGTGGGAGTGTTCAGCACCTTAACCATCACACCATCTGTTGGCTCCCATAAATCATTCTTTAAAAAAAAAAAGAAAGAAAGAAAATCATGCCAGGCACATGCATGTGCATGCCCAAGATTCCAGAAGGAGAATGGAGGAGAAAGGATTGCAGGATTTCTCACTGTCTCCATCTCTCTCTCTCTCTCCAGTGAGCACACAAGCCCTATGGCAGGAAAAAAAAAAAAAACCTCTAAAATATTGTTGAGCTATGTTGTATTATTGTATTATGTTTCACGTGTTGGAGAGACACTGTAACAATCATTAACAACTGTTTAACATAGACAGTATATAGTCCTTCATCTACTCTTTCAGCTTCTCTGTGTATGACTTTTTAAAAAGTTCATTCTCTTAGAGAGAGGGGAGAGAGGGGGCAGTCTGGCCCTCCCCATGGGCTGTCGTGCCATGACCCGCCCTAGCCAGCCCACACCACATGCACACAGGTGCACAGCTGGGACAGACAGGGAGACCTTCCATGTGGGCCTAGCTTCGCAGTGCTGAGGTGCTGTTGTTGGCCTGTATGACATTCTTTTTTTTTTTTTTTTTTTAGCAATTATTTATTTATTTTATTCCTTTTTATTATTATTATTCAATTTGACAGACAGAGACAGAGAGCGAGAAAGAGAAAGCAAGAAAGCAAGCTGCCAGGTCCCGGACTCGAGCCATGGTCAATCATGTGGGAATCTGGCGCCCTTAACTACCACACCACCTGCCAGCCCCCCCTTTTTGTTGGGGGCAAGAGGTTTTTGCTATAGAGTGCGTGTGCCCTCCAGACAGAGACAGAGAGATAGAAAGCAAGAAATCACCCCCCAGGGGGGATGGCCATGCCGCAATCCCTTCTCCTCCATTCTCCTCTCAGGATCTTGGGCACGCACTCACACGCACCCGGCATGAGTTTTAAGCCACCGGGTCCAGGACGCGAACCGCAGTCGACTACGTAGGAGTCCAGCGACATAGCCATTAACGCTAACTGCTGGTCCCCTTGAAATTCTTAAAAGTGAAATGATGGGAGCAAGGGTTGAGGGTGGGGCAGAAACGAAGCCTATCGGATAGCGGCCAGGACTTGGGGCATGGAACTGGGAGTCCTAGTTTCATGTAGTGGGCTTCATTTGATGGTCTGGTTCGAACCCCTCCTCTGCCTGGAGTGTTGACCTAACCTAGCCTGGCAAAGGATGCCCGGCGGGTTCTGTTTTGCCGGGAGCTGGCGTCCATCCGCCTGTGCGCTCAGTGGCTGTGCTCTCCCCCTTCCCCAGTGTGTAAGTACGTCGCTGTGGAGCTGAAGTCAGCCTTTGAGGAGACTGGCAGGACCAAGGAGGTGATCGACACGGGCTACGGCATCCTGGACCGGAAGGCCTCCGGAGTCAAGTACACCAAGTCGTAAGTGAATGCAGTCTCACCGGCCTGGCCTGCTGTGCTCCTGGAGGCCTGGGGGCTTGGGGCTCCCTCATTGTCAACTAGGCAGACCCACCAGAAGGGAGTCAGCGCCAACCGAAACCCCAGTTTGCCCACTGGTTCTGGCCCAGCTACAGTAACCGGATGACTTCATAACTCCCTGAGGTTCTGCTGTGCTCCTGGAGGCCTGGGGGCTTGGGGCTCCCTCATTGTCAACTAGGCAGACCCACCAGAAGGGAGTCAGCGCCAACCGAAACCCCAGTTTGCCCACTGGTTCTGGCCCAGCTACAGTAACTTCCTGAGGTTCTCTGGGTCCTGACTGCTCGTGTGTGAAAGCAGGACCATTGGGCTCTATCCGCAATCCCCAAACCAATTCCGTGGACCAGTGTGATTTTTAAAAAATACTGGTAGTGTAGAGTTACTAGCATTTTCTTTTACAAGGTATAAATATTGAGAACAAAAAGCAAGATCATCCTTTCTAAATGAAATATTTTGCATTTCAAACTTTCTATATTTACTTTATTAAAAAAAAATCTAAATACTGAATCATTTAGCTTTATAAAAAAGTCCTTGCCTTAGAGCTGTTAAAATGTTGTCTCTCTGGTCTGTGTTCCAGCATTTCAGAGCCCCCAGACCAGATGACCTATCTTCCTTCCAGCTCTGACTTACCGTTGGTGAGATGCGCAGGTGTTGGGGCAGCAGGGCTGGAGGGACGGACCAGTAACCCACGGGGGCTAGGAGGGGGACTCAGTTCCTGTCGTGCTGCTGTCTCGGCAGGGATTTACGGTTAATCGAAGTCACTGAGACCATTTGCAAGAGGCTCCTGGACTATAGCCTGCACAAGGAGAGGACCGGCAGCAACCGGTTTGCCAAGGTTGGATTTGCGCTTGTCCTTCATCCTCTCTGGGGCCAGGCCTGCATGCGTCTAAGTGTGTCTGCTGTGTGCGTGTGACCTCCAGACCGTGCCCTGGGCGCGTCCCTCCTGCCTCTTCCCGTCCTTGGGTGGCTACTTGCAGTCCTCCCCTCCTGAGTGGCCTGGCTTCTCAGTGGCAGTGGGCACATTCACGATGGCCTGGTCTGCCCCTCAGGGTCCTGCCTCAGTCTCAGAAACACCAGAAGTGCTCCAGGGTGACAGCCCCAGGGGGCGTAGGACCCTGGAGCAGGGAAAACTCGGCAGGAACCAGCTTGTACAGAATCGGAGGGCTGGGCGCAGTGACCGCCCAGTTCTTTCTCTGGGCTTCCCTGGCCCTCCCTGGACTCCTTCTGGAGTCCTCATGTGGCCTCTGTGCACTCGCTGTATGTACGAATGCTCCTCTCCCTGCAGAGTGAGCTCCTTAGGATGAGTATTCTTTGTTTCTACATTTTCAGTGCCTGGCCTGGTAAGAGAGCTGGCACCCACACTTTTCTACCCAAGTTCCCTTCTGGCGAGGGAGATCGGTTCCTAAGTCTCTGGGCTATCTACACATGTAGTTTGAAGAAACAGAAGGCATCGGTTTCAGCGCTAAAATTTGTATGAATTTTGTACTCTACTTGGTAATCAGTCCGTATTTGCTCTTATAAAAAGTGTTTGAAATTATTTACTGGACTGGCTCTATGGTCTAGTGGCTAAGGCAGTCAGTTCCCACTTGGCCGACGCCACGGTTCTAGTCCTAAAGCTGGCAGTTTGAGAAACATGCCAGGCGTGTGTGGGTGTATGCCCAAAATCACGACAGGATGAGTAAACGGAGGAGGATAGGCCATGCCCCTTCAGGGTGCATTCTCCCTTCCGTCTTGTCTCTATGTTTCTTTCTCGGAGTCACACTGACTAAAAAAAAAAAAAATTCCCATAGCAAAAAGAATAAAAGCAGTCTATCTACCAATAGTGCAGTTATAAATGCGCTGATATGGCCACTCAGTAGACTGTTGTGCAGCTGGAGAGCAGAAAATGAAGTAGCTCATTTGAACTGCGTTAAACTGATCTTCAAAGTATATTATGAAGTAAAAAAAAAGGGGGGCAAGATACAAAATAGTATGTATGGGGATAGCGTAATAGTGTCATTGTTGGACTCTATGACTGACCGTGGTTCGAGTCCTGGACCCAGCAGCTTCAAACTCAAGCTAGGTGTGTATGAGTGCATGCCCAAAATCCCAAGAGGAAACTGTAGGAGAAGGTATTGCAGTATGGCCATCTCCCCTGGGAGGTAATTTCTCCCTTTCTGTCTCTCTGTCTCTGACTAGTGCATGTACCCTATAGCAAAAATCTTTCTTTAAAAAAAAAAAGTTGGCTGGGAACCAGCAGTTAGCGTAATGGCTATGTCGCTGGACTCCCACGTAGTCGACCGTGGTTCGCGTCCTGGACTTGGTGGCTTAGAACTCACGCCGGGCGCGTGTGCGTGTGTGCCCAAGATCCCGAGAGGAGAATGGAGGAGAAGGGATTGCAGCGTGGCCATCCCCCCAAGGAGTGATTTCTCGCTTTCTGTCTCTATGTCTGTCTCTGTCTGTCTGGCGAGCGCACGTGCCCTATAGCGAAAACCTCTCAAAAAAAAAGAAAAAGTTGGGGGACCAGTTAGTGTAATGACTATGTTGTCGGACTCCCATATAGTCAACCATGGTTCGAGTCCCGGACCCGGTGGCTTAAGCTCACACCGGGTGCGTGTACATGTGTGCCCAAGATCCCGAGAGGAGAATGGAGGAGAAGGGATTGCAGCGTGGCCATCCCCCCAGGGAGTGATTTCTCGCTTTCTGTCTCTCTGTCTCTCTCTGTCTGTCTGGTGAGTGCATGCACCCTATAGCAGAAATCTCTCCCCCCCTAAAAAGTATGTATGGTGCCAGCTGGTGGTAGATCCCACAGTGACTAGATCCCACATTTTCCACAGCGAGATTTCAGTCCCAAACCCAGTGCCTTGGAAAACATGCCAGGTCAGAACCAGCAGATAGCCTAATGCTTATGTTGCTGGATTCTCACATGGTCAGCAGCAGTTTGAAGAACAGACCCAGCAGCTTCAAATTCATGCTGGGCATGTGCGTGTGCCTGCCCAAAATTCTGAGAGGAGACTGTAGGAGAAGGGATTGCGGCATGGCCATCCCCTGTAGGGAACAATTTCTCACTTTCTCTCTGTCTCTCTCTAGCCAGTGCACATACCCTATAGCAAAAATTTCTCTCTTAAAAAAAAAAAGGAATAAGGAAGGAAAAAGAATAAGAAAACCATGTCAGGCACATGTACCCAAAATCCCAAGCGGAGAATGGAGAAGGGATTGTAGCGTGGCCATCCTCCCTGGGGGGGGAATTTCTCACTTTTGCTCTCTCTGTCTCATTGATGAGTACATGTGCCCTATGGCAAAAAAACCTTACCAAAAAAAAAAAAAAAAAAAAACAACGGTTTGGGCAGGCTTCTTAGTCTACTGGTCAAGGGAGTTGATCCCATAGGGTTCACCATGGTTCAAATCCGGCCCTGGTAGCTTGGAATACATGCTGGATGTATGTGTGTGCATGCCCCAAATCCCAAAGGATGAAAGAGAAGGGATAGCGGTGCGACCGTGCCCCATGGAAGGGTGCTGTCCCCCTCTCCTCCTTTCTCCCTGTCTCTCTTTAGCAAGCGTGTGTGTCCTCTAGTGATTTAAAAACATATATAGAGAGTAGAGGTGAGTCTGGCAGCTAGAAATTTGAAAGGCATGGAGCTGGCGTCTGGCCGGTCTCTCTGGCTGCATCACATCAAGGCTGATAGAGGCAGAGAGGGTGGCAAGTATGTGCAGAGACAGACCTGGGGCAGCCATCTTCCTTTTGTACCAGTCTGTTCAAGAACTCACTGCTCATGAGACAGCATTCATCCTTTCAGAGAGTGATGCCCTCATGCCCTCATGATCTGCCCCCTATGCCTCACCTCTTAAAGAGCTCACCACCTGGGACCAGCAGTTAGTATAATGGCTATGTCGCTGGACTCCCACGTAGTCGACTGCGGTTCGAGTCCCAGATCCGTGGCTTAAACTCACGCTAGGCACGTGTGCGTGCGTGTCCAAGATCCCCAGGAGAATGGAGGAGAAGGGATTGAGGCATGGCCATCCCCCCTGGGGGGTGATTTCTCGCTTTCTGTCTCTCTGTCTCTGTCTGTCTGGTGAGCACATGTGCCCTATAGTTAAAACCTCTCCAGAAAAAAAAAAAAAAAAGATCTTACCACCTCCCAGTGCCATTACACTGGGGACCAAATCCCAATGTATAAACCTCTAGGGTTCAAACCATTATATAAAACATATCACCTACTGCTTTAAAAAGTGGGAGAAGGGGCCAGCCAGTGGCATGGTAGTTAAGGCAGCCAGATCCCATGTGGATAACTGCAGTTCAGGTCCTAGATCCAGTAGAATGAAAGACACACTGGCATCTGTGTGTGCATGCCCAAGATGCCAGGTGGGAAATGGAGAAGGGATTGTAGTGTGGTTACCCCCTCTGGGGTGTTTTTTTCACTTCCTTCTCTCTATCTCTGTCCCTCTCAGCAAGCACACATGTCCTAAAGCAAATTTTCAAAAGTTTAAAGGACCAGTAAGTGGCATGGTGTTTAGGTGCTGGACACTTCCACATGGCTGTCCATGGTTCGAGTCCTAGACCTGATGGCTTGCTTTCTTAGTTCCTATCTCTTTCTCTGTGTCTCCCTCTGGTCAAATTAAAAACAAAATGGATGAATAAATAATTTTTTAAAGTTTCAAAATAGCAAGTCATCGGGAAAGTCATGACACATTTTTGGATAGGAAAAATATGTTATGGGGGCTGGCAGATGGCATGGTGATTGAGGGCACTGGATTCCCACATGGCCGACCAGGGTTCAAGTCCCAGACCTGGCGTCTTGCTTTCTCACTTTCTCTTCCTCTCTCTTTCTCACTTGCTTGATCTGTCCCTTTGATCAGATAAATCAGTTAATTAAGATAAATAAAATAATTCTTTTTTTAAAAAGTACTTTATGACTTTTCCGACAACCTAATATTTATGTTTGCGTTTGTATGCAGCATCTCTGGGAGGTAAAGGAAATGGGTATGTCGTCCCTGGGGTGGGAGGAAACTGCTAGGTAACTGGCAGCAGTATTTTTGGCAGAATGAAGGCTCCTTGCGCCTCATTGTGCCCTTTCCTCACCAAGGGTAGACACAGTCGGGAAGAACCTGGAGCAGAGAGCGGGTCTGGATATAGGGCCGTGAGTGTGCCCAGCCACTGTGCGAGGAAGGAACAAAAACAAATGTATTTCCTGGAAGAGGCGTGTACGCTCACAGGCCTGAGGGCGACAGCAGATGGTTCTGAAAGGAAGAGGTGTGGGGAGGCAGGTCAGGGTCTATGTGTGCGGGGGGTTGAGGGAAGTGGGCTCGAAAGGCAAGAGAAGGGTAAGTTCAGAGGGGAGGAGCCTGGCAGGGTCTCTTCTGGAGTCAGGTCCTTGGGCCACTGGGAGAGGAGGGCGGGCGGTAGAAAACTCGGTGGCTCTGCCTCCCGTGTGTGGCTTCCTTTTCCAGGGCATGTCGGAGACCTTCGAGACGCTGCACAACCTGGTGCACAAGGGCGTCAAGGTGGTGATGGACATCCCCTACGAGCTGTGGAACGAGACCTCTGCAGAGGTGGCCGACCTCAAGAAGCAGGTACCAGGCCTGCGGCCCTGAGAAGCCGCTCACCCAGCGGGGGGTGGGGGGAGTAGAAGCTGGGTCTGTGCTGAGGAAGGCCACCAAGAACTCGGGACTTCGGCCACGTCATGTCACCTCCGGCTTCAGTTGCCATAGGCTGACCACAGCCACCTGCCTGGCTCGCGATGGGTCGTGAGGCCCAGCTGAGTGTCCCAGGAGCAGTCAGTGCTGGGGCTTTGCCAATGCGGGGTGTTGCGGTTAACAGTGCGACGTGCTGGTGGAAGAGTTTGAGGAGGTGATCGAGGACTGGTACAGGAACCACCAGGAGGAGGACCTGACCGAATTCCTCTGCGCCAACCACGTGCTGAAGGGAAAGGACACCAGTGAGTCTGAGGGCAGGGCGACGGCAGGGTGGGTCGGTCCTGGATGATCGTATCATTGGCTCCGCGTCAGGGGAGGTGGGTAGGAAAGGGTGGGAAATAGAGGGCTTCGTGGGATCTCTGCCCTTGGGGAGCTCCACGGGTCATGGTGAAGTACAAGGCCCTAAAACCAGGTGCCAAATACCGCGCAGGTCACTCAGGCATTCCCCCCGGCAGCCACAGCACGGTGTGAGGTAGGGATGTCGATTCAGGCGCCCATTCCAGTTGTTGTTCCCAGGGGCCCCATCCGTGCTCCCCACCCAGCCTACAGTCTTGAGGCCCCTGCTGAGGCTGCGCCCCCTCCCCCAGGTTGCCTGGCAGAGCAGTGGACTGGCAAGAAGGGGGACACCGCCGCCCTGGGAGAGAAGAAGTCCAAGAAGAAGGGTAGCAAGGCCAAGGCATCGGGAGGCAGGAGCAGCGGCAGCAAACAGAGGAAGGAGCTGGGCGGCCTGGAGGGGGATCCCAGCCCCGAGGAGGACGAGGGCATCCAGAAGGCCTCCCCCCTCACACACAGCCCCCCTGACGAACTCTGAGCCGAACCTGGTGTCCCCTGTGTGAGACCCCTGACCTGGACGCTGAAGAATCCCCAGCGGGGCTCTGGCTGGCAGAGGTGGCTCTCCCAGCAGCAGGTCCTCCCTGCGTCACTGTGTCAAGAAGAGACAGGCCCCACGAGGAACTTGGAGTGGCCACCGCCAGCTGCGTCGGCCTGTCCTCACTGCCAGGCATGTCCCGCCACAGGCGTCAGGACTGCGAGGACGCCGCTGTGAACTCAGGAGGGGCAGCTGTCAGCTGGTCGCTGGGACTGGAGCCCTCCACCTTCACCTCCCCTCATCCTGCCCCCACGGGAAGCACCCCCGCCACACCCCGCCCCTCCTCTCTGCTCGCGCCCTCCCGGGGACACCTCATGACCTGCTCAGCCCCCTTCCCCAGGGCTCACAGAGTAAAACCTTTAGGCCTTTTGGTTCCGATTTCTGAGTCCTCTTCAGCCCTCAGAGTGCCCTGAGCCCTCCTTGCTCTGTCCTGCCCCTCACTGTCCTGCCTCGGGGGCTGAGGACTGGGATGCTGCTCACCCCTCACCGAGGCCGACCGTGCCAGCTGTGGCAGACAGCACACGCAGGCTGGGCCCAGGGTGGTCTGGGGTGAGGTGGGCAGAGGTGCAGGGGAAGGTGCAGCTCGGTGCGCTGACCTGTCTAGTTCCTCGGCTGCCAGGCCCTCCCCGCTCGCTCGCCGTGTCCTGGGCACCTGGCTGCTCTCCCCCCTCTCTCCTCCAAGCCTTCCCGTTTGTGTGTAGTGTTGAATGGTTACCCCACAGCCCTCACCTCCCTCCCACCCCCTCTGGGCCTCCTGTTGGTCTTGAACCTTGTCCTTGATGACCACACCTGCCCACTGCTCTCCTAGCTGTTGTACCGGAAACCCGAAGGGGAGGACACCCCAGGCTTCCAGCAGCACCTGGTTACACCGTGTTCTCCAGGGCTAGGGGAGGAACAGGAAGGATGGCCTCTAGGAAGAAGGGGTGGAGGGTTCAGGCCCCTCCCCATGTGTCCTGAGGGCAGAGGTCAGCGCAGCTGGTCCTATGTACCCACACTGCTTTGATGTTAACCCTTGAGAAGCAGGTGCTGTTGGCCCCGTTATGTTGGAAACAGGCTCAAGTCGAGAGCTGTGTCCAGGTCCTGCTGTTGATGAGTGGTCCTGTTGGAGACTCCCACATGGCCAACCGTGTTCAAATCCCAGACCTGGCCACTTAAAAATCACACCGGCTACATGCACATGTGCCCAAAATCTTGGGTAGGATAGACTAGAAGGGATTGTGGTGAGGCCATCCCCCAAGGAGTGATTTCTCTCTCTCTCTGTGGCAAGCGCACAGGCCCTGTGGCAGCAGCTGGGACTCGGGCTTCTGTGCCAAGTCCTAGTCCTTTGCGTTTCTGCTGTCCGAGCTGCCAGGGCCCCCTCCCTCAGGTGCTGTTGGCCCCGTTATGTTGGAAACAGGCTCAAGTCGAGAGCTGTGTCCAGGTCCTGCTGTTGATGAGTGGTCCTGTTGGAGACTCCCACATGGCCAACCGTGTTCAAATCCCAGACCTGGCCACTTAAAAATCACACCGGCTACATGCACATGTGCCCAAAATCTTGGGTAGGATAGACTAGAAGGGATTGTGGTGAGGCCATCCCCCAAGGAGTGATTTCTCTCTCTCTCTGTGGCAAGCGCACAGGCCCTGTGGCAGCAGCTGGGACTCGGGCTTCTGTGCCAAGTCCTAGTCCTGGCTGCCAGGGCCCCCTCCCTAACACCTGGGACTGACAGTGTCATTCATGTTGACCTGGTTCAGCTTCTTGGCCTTAACCCGCCACAACCACCAAGACTTCCGAAAGGAAAATAGGAAGCTGCTCTTGCTTCGCAGGGAATGAGGACAGTCCCCACGAGCACCCACACTGGGGCTCCACCTCACGTTCCCAGGCCAGGCCCAGGGCAGGAGGAGCACGCTGCCCAAGGTCCCTGGGCTAGTGCCGAGGCTGGGGTTCAAATACCTGAGAGTGGGGGCCCCTCAACCTGGGCCCGGCCTCTCCCCCCACCCCAGGTTAGGCCACGCAAG